ATTTTCCTTCTTGAAGAAACAATAAAGGAAAAGTGATCCAATGGCATTATTTTTGGCTTCTCTCATGGAAAAGCAAATTTTTATAATTTTTCTTTTTGAAGAGAAAAAAAAAAGAAGATTTTTATACAACTGATGTTGATTTGTGCAGGAAGAGAACATGGAATTGAAGAAGCAAAAGACTAATTCTGCCGAAGACTGTAGTTGGACCGACTACTTGTCTTTGCCTTTCACTCAAAATGTGAGTCTCAAATTTCAGAGGAGATGCTGTAAAAGTTTCTCTTTACAGAAAAAAAAAAAAAAAAAAAAAAAAAAGAGCATTGACATCAATTTTTTTTTTCTTTGCTAGGTGATAAATGAAACTCTTAGACTGGCAAATATCATCAATGGAGTTTGGAGGAAAGCACTCAAGGAAATAGATATTAAAGGCAGTTTCATTATAGTATTGCTTTGAGCTTTGATTCGGAAGAAATAGGGAAAAACACACTTCATTTGACAAAACCGTTTTTATGGTTGTTTTTGCAGGTTTCTTAATACCAAAGGGATGGTGCGTTCTGGCATCTTTCATTTCTGTTCATATGGATGAAGAAAATTATGAAAACCCATATCAATTTGATCCATGGAGATGGGAGGTAAATTAAACAATGTCACTTCTTTTTTTTTTTTTTTTCTGGGTAATTGCACCATTTCAGGATTTGTTGGTTACAGAAACTTGGAGCTGCTGTTAACAACAATAGCTTTACACCAATTTGGAGGTGGGCAAGAAGGCTGTGCCCTGGTTTAGGAACTATCAAGGCTTGGAATATCAATCTTTCTTCAACCATCTCATCACCAGTTAAACATGGTAATTTATTGAATCATAGAATTCTATTCTACTTCTTTCTGCTGCTGGTAATTCAATCCATGAAGCATGGGGCACCCCTATGGTGGAAGGCCTTGGAATGTACATTCAACAGCTCACTAAATCCTACATGATTGAGTAGCGTTTCTTTTATTAATGACATGAACCAACAGAAGCAAAAGAATTGATATTTAGCTACCATGCCCTGGTAGATCGGTGTCATCGGAAGCCCACCAATCCATCCAGATTTGCTATCTCTTACAGTCTAACAAAACTCAGAAAACACTTTTTTTTTTCTTCTCATATATGCAAGGTGGGTTGCCCAAGAGGATGACATTATCTACTTTTCCCAACAGTTAAAGATGGAAGAGGAAAGCTGCCAATCAACGTCACCCTTCTTATGCAACTACCAGTAGTTTGGCCCATCCAGGAAAGCCTGTACAAAAATATCTAATATATATATATATATATATATATATATATATATTATATTTTAAATCTCAATTGGATTAGATATACCCTGACAGAAACTTTGGAAGTTTATCCCCACAACAAAAGGGAGCCATTGGGAATGGAATTTGTACAGCTGGCAATGATCTTTAAGAATTAGAATGGACTGTGTATTATGGTGTTAGTTCTCATGTCACCATCTATTTTCAAAGCAGCAGAAGTCCTCGGGCCCTTTTGGGTCCTTCAATATTGAATGAAGTAGGGATGATAAAATCTAAACTCTCATGTCTAAAGCTGCAAATCGATTAAATTTTTTTTTTTTGGTTTGAGATGATAATAACATTTGTGATGGTACAAAATCCATGTTTCACTGCCTCCTTCAATGACATTACTGCGTAGTGGGAGCCATGTTATTATAGAGCAATTATCTTCCATGGAAATTACTGGAGAATGCCAGCAAAGAAAAGCAGGGTATTGACTTCTAGATTAACAGCAATAAAAGAGCAAAAATGAATTAGATTGAAAGTCCAGCCATGAAAATTAGTTGTAGCAAATTTCTTTCCTTCTTTGTTTTGGAAAAAATAAAGCAGCTTAGAAGATTTAGAGGCTAAGAAAAGAGGGCTTATTGATTGAAGAATATTCGTCTAACTGATCCAAAATTGAGTAGTTGCTGTCTCGAATAAAACACTTACTGATATTGACAACACCAGACCAGATCAGTCACTCGAGGGAAAGATACATGATTCCCCAAGCAGGCAGGCAGGCACGTTAAATTCATGAAAGCAGCCGTGAACTTTTTACTGAATCCGACCGCAAGGTATAGGAGTAGCTTTCACATGTATTTGCTTCCATTTGTGCCATCTTTTCAATACTATTTTAGTCCTTCTGCTTTATGGGAGTGTTTCTACTTTGTAGTGTGCAGGAGTTCACTGATCTCATTTTACACATGCAGAAGCAATTATTTTAAAGAAACTTTCTTCCTTTTCTATGACTTTTGTTAGGCATTCTTTCAATCAGACATCACAAGCATCGTCATAAAATAAATTTTAATTCTAACTTATTTCATATCCTTTTTTACCAGTTCAATAATAAGTCTCAAAAGGACTCAAATAACAGATGGAAAGGGGAAAGAATCAAGCTCATTGGTTTGTAAAAAGCCACATTGGCAACTTCGGCAACAATCTTATGTGTTCCTAATCGCTGCACACAATAGCAAATTTCCAACAATATCAGATCTCCAAATGCCATTCAAGCTTGGGTTATCGGGCTGGCTTACCAAACATTAGGAAGGAAAACACAAACAGAGGCTTATAGAAAGTTGGTTGATCGTCTCAAAGCAGCGTGCACATCAGAAGCGCTAAGTCTACGAGCAAGCCAATTCTTCAAGTCATGGCCTTTTTCTTCTCTTCCTCGAGCCGGCTGCAAGCTCCATCCCAGCCTTTCGGCCATGCTCTTTCCCTTGCCCACTGCAGCCATCTTTCGCTCTACTTGCTTAATCTCCTTCTTCCTTTTAGCCTCCTGCACTTGAGCTTTCCTCTTCTTTGCCTCTGCCTGCAGAACCCCACTGTAAGACATAAGCCATTTTCCCCAGAACCCAAATGTGTAGATATTAAGAAATAGCCAACCTAACTCCAGGGACAAGCAGAAATGGACTATAGAAAAAGAAAATGTAAACTACAGAGATGATTCATTGGTGCATCCAAATATAAGAATACGCAAAGCAATTGTATGATTTACCAACCAAAAATATGTGAAACTCTAAGAAAATCTGACAAACAAGAAAGCCTAAGCCAGTTAAAAGTGTACCATAAGCGATGCATGAAAGCACCTGCATGTAGATATTTCACTTTAAAACTGTGTCTAAAATCCTGTTGTAATAATAGTAATAATAAGAACTGAGACCAAATAGTGCGATGCTGGCAAGCACAGCATACACAGCTAGACATTACAAGAGGTAACCAGTTAGAAGACCAATCCTGAGAAAATGTTAAAGACATTACAAAAGTTCCACAGCAACAATAAGATAGCCATGGTTTCAGAAGTGAATAGCGTAAAAAGGAAAGCCACTTATAACCACCAACTCATATTAGTTGTCCCTATTTTATGTTTTCTTTTGTGACAGAGAGTACATTCTTAACAATAGAACTATGGTTTTATCTAAATTGATATCTCCGAAGCTACAAATAATGCATTTAGAGATGACCTCCTGCAACCCCTAATATTACTTCCCAATATAATAAGAACAATTATGAGCCAAAAGTGCATCATATTTCATGTTTTACGAATTGTGACGCCATGCACAATTCACACTGCCCCAGGAACCAATGATCGAGGCATAATATGAATTGCCAACCAAAGACAGATTTCAATAAAGTAGTCACAATCAAATGCTGATTTTTACATGAAATGAAGAAAAGAATAGGACAGTGACATCAGTTCACAGATAAATTGGTTCATCTATACACATAATTCAGGATAAGCTGGAACGTTTCCCTCAGGCTATGGTAAAATCTATAGAAAGTATTAAGGAGAACCTTCTCCTGATGACTCCGACAATAGGACATGCTCTATGGTAAAATGAACCTGCCTCATTTAACATCCCAAAATCCCTATTGGCTAACTAAAAGATAACTTACTAAAAACATTACTCACATATATGCCTTAACAACTTCTTCTAAATGTATTCAAC